GCTGCTGTTGCTGCTGGCGGGACTACGCCTGAAGCGTACTCGCGGCATCGTCACCCCGCTCTTCCATCTCTTGCCCTTGCAAGGTCAGTTCCGAGTGCCCGCTCGTTGGTGTTATAGGATGCTGTGATGTAGTAAAGGTCGATACGGTAGAAGTATGCTCTGTGAAAAGTAAAGAGGAATAAGTGGTGGTGTCTGAGCTAAGGGGATGTTGGGGTGTGGAAGAAGGGAAGTTTAATTGCGGAAATCAAAATCCTGTCACTCCAAGTGATTATTCATCGTTTCCGCTTCGATTGATTCGGAAGGTAGACAGGTAGCTATGACCCAAGCTCGTCACGAAGAGCAAGCACCTTCGGCGCTGAAAATACCTATTCGGTAAGGTACAATGAAGAGGTAAACCGGATGAACGGGGAAGTGTGCATCCTCGTGTATTTGTAATGCGAACGTGATGATATACATAAAGACACTGCCTCATAAACCAAGTGGGTTAGATTCTGTCGTTAGGTTTATTTTCCATGCGCCTCCAATTTGTGCATCCCCTCGGTCGAACCTCGTAGATATTGAGGTCGAATGTGACCTATACGTTAGGTAGGTCAGGTACGTATCATACTCGTAACCGCTTCTATGCTACAGTGTAGCAATGGAAATGCGCAACGGTGCCACCAGCGGTAGTAAACGATTGCGGCTTGTCGACCACAATGCGTGCCGACTGATGCCGTCTATCCTTATATGTAAACCGTGAAAGTGAAAGGGCTGGCAGCAATCCAACAGCTACTCCATACACTTCGATAAAACGCCATTCATGTCGGACCGTCAGGTCTCCGTCTCAAGAAAAGTCTCCTCAAACCGCCACTAGGCTTGGAAGCCTTGGGCTTGACTGTGTTCTCCGGTGTCATCTTATGAGCAACCTGGGTGGGAGCGGGAGGAGGGGGGATGGCCGGCTGGTCGTTCTCTGGTAATGGGGTAGACGCCGAGCCCTGCCTGGCCATCCTCCTCTCTGCCCTACGTTGTCTAAGCGCCTGTTCCGAAGCGCGTGACGGCGAGAGGAATTCGGGCAGTCGGAACTCGAACCCGTTCTCGACAATTCCGCGGATGGTATGGCGCGACGACCGGCGTCCTTGGCCTGCGGCCCTGCTCTCTCCATCCTCTCCGTCATATTCCTCGTCTCCGCGTTCGGGGGTGGTGCGTTCCTCGTCGCCACACACGACGACGTACCACCGAATACTCTCGGTCCTCTGCAGCTGGTCGCGAAGCTGCTCGAACCAGCCAGCGTTCTTGTTGCCGAACGTATTTGCCCGACGGGCCACCTCGTCGCTCGGGCCGCTCATGGCTTTATTGGGATCCGTCTTCATCCGCGCCTCGTACCGGCTTATCTCGTCTGCGACCGAAACCGACGTGTCTACGCGCACCACATAATCCGCCACGTACGCCCACTCTCCGCTGACGACGGTCAGGTCCGACGGGTCGAACTCCTCTAAGAACTTCACCACCGACCAGTTGTTGAACGGCACGCTGTCGTCGGGTTCCGTCTCCGGCGGGTCGGGCGACGGCGGTATTGCATTTTCGTCGTCGCGTCGCTTGCTTTTCGCGAGCTGGCCGAACGATCTGCTGCGGTTGGGCACCGGGCCGCGTTGGCCGTGCTGGCTTTGCTGGTGGCTGCTACTCCTACTGTGGCCATTCTCACTAATCGGTTGTGTATCCTTCTGCTCCCTCCCCTTCTCTTTCGCTATACCGACGTACGAATAATTGCGCGCGTGGGCGGTGCCGTTGCTCGTCGGCGGTCGGGATTGGATGCGTTGGGGGGAGGGGCTGAGCTTGCGCGTGGGACGGCTGCAGGGCGGCACGAAGTCGAACAGCTCGTAGAATTGATCGAGGAGGGCGTCGGGGCTCCCGCGTGCGACAATCCATTCCGAAGCAGCATCGTCGACATTTTGAATGACGATAAAATACCGAATGCTTCGGCGATGCCAACGGAAACCGTGGCAGAGGTACGTTGGCATTGTGAAGGTCGACAGCAAGTCTCTACTTGGTAACTGGTAGGTAGCTTGAGCTGGTGTGGATCGAGGTGCGCGTAGGTAGGAGACTGGACGGTACCCGGGATCCTGGTCTGCGGGGGCTGGGGGGGTAAAAGAGACAGGGGTATAAGGGGGGGTGTTGTTCTGAATGCTGAATGGGGGGAACAGGTCGCAATTCCTCGAATGTTCAATGTTCAATCAGCAAGCCATAAATCCCGCAACTGCTATACCAACTTCCAACTAAGAATACTGCTGGCTTTTAAAACTGATTCTTTATCGAACCTGTTCGGCCCAGGAGTAATATTAGGTACGAGAGCCGAGGCGATTGTTCAGCCGTAATGTCAGCAATAATGTCAGCAAAGGCGCAGCGACTCGAACGAGACGCGAACGGCGAACCGATAATAGCCTGTCTGGCCGGATCACCGCTAAACCTAAGATGGGAATTCAGGGTAAAAGCGAGTGGTAGAGTAAAGGTCTCACTCGCCTCGTATATTAACATGTAATATATGTGCTCCAAAACCGTCGACGACCACATCGGCTGTTATGGCTGGCAACGAAAACGCGGGAAGCTTAGCTGCTAATACAAATCTCTTGGGCTTTTCTTGGGTCGTGGCTGGGTGAAAGGGACCTTACGCGGCTTGCGACGTACCTGCGTGGACGAACATCTTCTCGGCTGCTTGAAGAGAGGTACCTGTGCGGTGATTCTGCCTTGGGCTGTGTCGTGAGGGATTCGCGAGTCAGTCTCTCACGAGTCGGGAGTAGGGCTTCATTGAACACCGCTACTCTCCCAGGCAAGGTACGTAACAGTAAGCTACCAAGTTCCTGCGCCTCTATCGGCGTGTGGCTCAGGCTCTCTTATTCTATTCTTATTCTATTCATACATCTCATAGCTCTGACGGGTCTTCCTCTACTTCTCTTTGGTGTGTTGATTCATGGAGTGTTGGTAGCGATAGACCCGGCAGTGCGGCACCTCGCCCCATCGCCCCAACTTTAGTCTAATTTAGTTGAACTTTGTTAATGAGCCAGCGAGCACACCAGGTCTTATTGCGTAAAATTACCGCTAGTATCTATATGAACAGCTAATTAGTTCTTGTTCGTCTTGAGACGCAAGCATCGCTGAGGTGAGTGTTGCTATTGAGTGGGAAAACATACCTTTCTTCAATTAAAGACACTTGAGTCGGACAGAACTTCAGATACATGAAGCATAGGAGAAAACGCAATTTCTATGAATAAGCTAGTAACCCCTTCCTTTCCAACAGGAGATGCAAGATACCTGAAGTCGGTCCCCAAATAACCGCAGCACTCATCCCAGGCACGCCATATACCCACTCAGTATCAGATCCGTGGATTCTCTGTTGATGGACGGCGAGGTGATAGTAAAGGCGCGGGAAAGCTGCTCACGTTGGATTCACACTCAATACTTTCTTAATGGTTCGATGCCGTTTGCAATTTCGCCCCTATCTCTCCAGCGATCTCGTTGATTGTTTCTAGAATGCCAGCGCTTTGCGCCAACCCAGTGTCAGGATGATCCTCTGGGAGTTCTGGAGCTTCGACTTTTTCTGCGCGCTGCCGGGGCATGTTGAAGTAGTGCCATGGCACGTCATCTCTACCTCCTATGACTCAGATCATCAATCGCTCATTTGAGATTACTATAAGCTCATCGCAGTGGCCTCTGATACTAACTCATATGGTGAGAAATTCGCCTTCTAGGAGGTAGATGATAGGATCCCCGTTCGAAACTGATGTGTTTCTCGGGACGAAAGAGAACAGAGGCCCAGTCGACACTTGCTGGCTTGAAATGTTCTTTTTATTTAAACTCACCAAAGCCTGGCGACTAACCTTTTACGCAACACCCAAGCTAGTGATCAACGATGGAATTTGCTTGGCCTCCGAACGGAGCGTGAGGATGGCCAGTCCTTCAACCGCACCTGGGTACCAGCGCAGGCCATGGAAGAACACGACACAGAAATCCGGGCTGATGGTTCTGTACTGCCCCAGCAGAAGTCCAAACTCCGTCCCAACATCTTCAACTTCGCTTCCTCCGGCTTCAGTACCCTCAGGTTTATATAGAACCCCACGACCAGCGCGCAAGTCGTCCCCTGATGTATTGGCGTCAGCTGCCTATGCTGCGAACTACTCGTCACGTTCCTCGTTCGAATGTACGTCTACCTAAACTACCAGAGTTGCCGGGCTTAGTCGTGCTGGAAATCAGGAGGACCAACTAAGGGCCTAGATCCGTGGTAATAGAGATGGTGGTGATGGTGGTAATAGTAATAGCGGCGGTAATCGTTGATATGCCGACGACGATGTCTGGATAACAATTTTACTTATCATCACTACTTGACTATAGTAGAGTTCAGGTGTCTTTCAGCTAGTTAGACGGATAGACAAACTTGAGCTACCAAGAGTCTTCATAATAACCAGGTGAGAATATGCTGTGGTGGGAAAGCAGAGTCTGGGAAATACGTTGACTGATATATTAGCCGTAGTTTTTCAGATGGTTCAAAGTCACACATCCTTATTCGTGGTAATACCTCGCCACCATCATAAAGATTTTACTTATGAACACCCCTTTAGCAGGTTGTCCCTGCATAGTCCTAATACTTACCCATTCCGAGGCTGCTCGAAGCATCTCAAACACAGCGTCGACCGTTCTGTCTGTCCCACTGCATACTGCAAAGCTCCTGTTTCTATATTTCGGGAATCGAGTCAGATGAAGCATTCGCCGAGAATCGATCTACGTATTTATATTTTTGCAATAATTCAGAGCACCTATATGATTCTACCAACGGATTTCCCCAAAGTGTGCTCACTAACTGCACCATGAAGCAGGCGTAGCAGTCCTGCTTCTACTGCCTAAATACCTAGGTATGTACATGGTAGGCTGACGTTCAGCGGCTGCCGTGAATTCTCAATCGTGATAAGCAGAGACCGAGTCACAGTCACATTCTGCACATTCCACCGAGAGAGTTAAAAAAAAAAGGGGAATGCATTAGCTGCGAATCGAACGCAGGACCCATCGTTACCATCGATGGATTTTACCACTAAACCACTAATGTCTCTGTTGGATTGACAGTGTATCGTATACAGCAGTGGAACCTTGGAAAGGAATATCAAAGACCACCTCCACGCACATCCTATTCCGACAGCCTCAAGTGTGGCGGAGCTGTCTTTCCTCGCTCCTATGACCATCGTAATATATTTATATGTATGATCAATGTTTTCTTCTCTTTTGCTTTTTCTCTTTTGCTATGCTAAGTTGGGTAGTGTATTTCTTGAGGGTCTGCCTGTTGCGACATTTCGTTGATGATCTCGATTGGTAGACTATTTGATTTGTATCGTTTGCTTAAATGGTGATAGCTAAAATAGTGATAACAATTGGTTTGTTGTCTATCACTTATAATACCACCTGCAGACATTCTTAATACATATATCGGTCACTTTGTTAAATGCCTGAAGGTACCTACTTATATTTTGTGGTTGATTTGGGTGTACATAATCATTAATATGTTATTCTTAATTATCATATAGTTATATCAGATACATGTCCAATTTAATTACATAAGTTAAGCTACTAAAATGTCCTCCATAGATTCATAGATGACCGACGCTTGGGTATCGAAATTTGCATAAAATGTTCTACCTTCTCACAACTATCTGGTAGGAGAGTAGTACCGTATTCAACTCTGTACTTTGGCTAACAAGACGTCGTGGTCTTGCTCTTCTAGTTGGCTAGCTTACATTAGGTACCTGCCTATAGGCTCGTGTTGCGACATGTCGATTGTCCGAGTTGTGTAAACCGTACTATAGGTGGATTTAATAGTATTATTCATGGAGTGAGATCATTGGTGCGCTAATAGGACGTTGTCCAATGGCGTTGAAGCGCAAATCCTAATTCGGCCCTCGGAGGATTCGTCTTTATAGTGGCTGCACCTTGCTTGGATACCGATATACAAGTTACCTTTTAGAGGTAGGTAGGCAAAAGGTAACTTATATACCGGTGTTGCTGCTACCCTTAGCAGAGCATAGTATCTCAAACAGCCTGGACAAGCCAGCCTCTTAGATTACACCACATAGTACTGTAGTGACCCAGGTTTTCTGAGGTTGAAATACATCAAATTCTCCAGCCACTATTCGCGACGATAGGACAAGCGCGAGCTGCACGGGGCCCACGGGGGATACTATGACACGGAAAGCCACCCTTATTAGTCAAGTCGAACCGTTCGGCCCCCGCTGTGGCCCTCGGAGTGGCCCTCGGACTATATTTAGAGCTAACGTCATGGTGTAATATTAGAAAGCTCGAAATCTCCATCGAACCCATCGACCCCTCATTGCTGGGGAAGTGGTGAAAGTGGGCTGGCTGCTTCCAAGTAAATAAATAATCGCAACCGCTTCACCTTCCTACGCATACCCACCTAGGTCCCCTTCTCAACTGCTCCCTCCTTAGTTACCGATTCCCAAAGAAAGGAGTAAATATGGCACCTACAATTCCTACCGTGAAGCTGGCCTCCGGCTATGTAAGTGATCTAAACAAGGTCCTTTCGGGGGAAGAAACAGCGAGCTAATGGCAACAGGAAATGCCCCTCGTGGGATTCGGTATTTGGAAGGTCCCCAACGATGTCTGCGCTGATCAAGGTATGCATTTTTGTCATTCTACTACGGGGTAACCCTCGCTGACATAACTCAATTCGATAGTCTATAATGCTATCAAGCTGGGCTACAGACACATTGACGGTGCCTGGGACTACACCAACAGCGCCGAGGCTGGCAAAGGTGTCCGACGCGCGATCGAGGAAGGTATCGTGAAGCGAGAGGATATGTTTATCACCTCGAAACTGTGGAACAACTACCACGCTCGTGAGCATGCGCACGAGATGGCCAAGCTGGAGAACGAGGCTTGGGGTTTGGGATACTTGGACCTGTTCCTAATCCACTTCCCGATTTCTCTCGAGTTCATTCCTTTCGACAAGATCCGATATCCTTGCTTCTGGAGCGACAAGGAGCAGACGAAGGTTACCCCTCTGTCAAAGGTGCCCATCTCCGAGACCTGGGGAGCCTTGGAAGAGCTGGTGCAAACCAAGGAGAACCCGAACGGATTCGTCAAGAGCATCGGCATTTCCAACTTCCACACCCAGTTGATCTACGACCTGCTGTCGTATGCGAAGATCCACCCCAGCGTCTTGCAGATTGAACACCACCCGTACCTAACTCAGCCTGACTTGATTGCTATGGCCCAGGAAAACAACATCGCCGTAACCGGTTACTCGACGTTCGGCCCTCTGAGCTTCATCGAATTGGGCAACGCTACCGCCAAGGAAGTCAAGCCCCTGTTCGAGACAGACGCGGTCAAGAGCATCGCCGCCAAACACGGCAAGACTCCTGGTCAGGTGTTACTCCGATGGTGCACTCAGCGAAACATCATCGTCATCCCCAAGTCGAACAGCGTCGACCGACTCAAGCAGAACCTGGATAGCTGCTCGTTCGACCTCAGCGATGATGAGATCAAGCAAATCTCATCATTGAACATTAACCTGCGCTTCAACAACCCCGCCACCTTGGAGACGCCTATCCGAATCTTCACTTAGAGGCGAATGAGATCTAAAAGGATAATTCTTGTAGATAATTAGCGACAGTGAAATCAAGAGACTCCAGATTATGACGCATTTTAAGCACGTTGGTGTAACGCGTCGTTTCGTCAAGCAAAAACAGTTTTGCATGAAGGACAAGGAGAAATAAATTAAAATCAATTAAAATCAATTAAAATACCCATAGCCACATTTGGCACCGCCACAACTAACCCCTCGGCACGGCGCGTCGCCGATTAGGTACTGTCGCGTTTTCTTTCCATGTTCAACCCTAGATATAATTTCGCCAATTCCTCAATTGAGCAACCGAAATGGCGCTGCCGCTCCCACCGGGCCTCGTGCCGACCGAGGTGGCCTTCCTCTGCGAAATGGAAATGGTCACGGTAGTCCCGCGGCAAAGACTAGAGTCCATCCCGCTCCTCAGTGTAAAGACCCGAACCCCACCACCCCGCCGTATCATCACTCGAAGAACCGAGTCGCATCGCGTCGTGAACCTGCCAGACTAACCGCACACATTTTGTTCTTCCAGGGCAAAACACCGACTCTCCGACCACCCCACCGCGCGCAGCTCCCGCTGTGGCTCGCGCTCCTCCTCAAGAAGCAGCGCCGCGCCAACATCGTCGCCCCGCCGTGGCTGCTGGCCGACTCCCTCAAGGACATCATCCACCACGAGACCAACGTCGACCCGGTCGCATTCTCGCCGCCGCCGCCGCCCCCCGCGCGATCCGACGGCCGCGGCGGCGCCAGGCCGTACGGGCAAGCTTCCTCCTCCTCCAGAAGACCGGGCGACACCACCGTCCTGCTGTCGCCGCCGTTCCTGCCCGCGTGCACCGGCGACGCGCCCTCGGGCTACCTGCCGTACCACTGGCTCGAGATGGCCGAGACGCTGCTGGCGCACGCCGCCGACGACGTGCCGGGCGCGGCCGAGGTGCGGGCGCTGCTGCGCGACCTCCAGGAGGTGCGCGCCGCGAAGCTGCGCGGCAGCACCGCCGAGCTCGAGGGCGGCCGCGGCGTCCAGAACTTCCGGGGCGTGGGCGCCATGGAGCTGGCCGAGAGCAGGGGGTTCGTGCTGGGGGTCGTCGAGGGCGTGAGGAAGCTGGGGGCGAGCGCCGAGGCGAGCAGGCGCGAGGAAGAGGAGGAGAGGAGGAATGGTGGTGTTGACGAGGGGAGTGACGAGGAGATGGCCTTGTAAGAGATGACGACGATGACGATTACGTACGGATTTAGCTACGATGCAAACGGAGACACGTCGCAGTACGATATGATAGATGTGCCGAACTCACGAGGTTACGTTCGACCCGAGCTAGAAGGTTAGGACTGATGTTACAGCATAAGCATAAGGTATAGCATTGAGGATGGCGTTATGTATCACTTTCGACAAGCATAGGGGGGTTTATCTTGAAAACTCGGTTTTTGCTATTCTCTGCTATATAAACAGTGCACTTCTATCCTACTCCACGCGATAAACCTCCCTATAAACACTATGCTATTTAACATGTACTTAGAAACTGCTCCAATCAGCCAGTCTGACCATATGGCCGTCGACAGTGTGTCTCCACCGGGGTTTCGACCACAAGTTGGCGTCGCGGAAGTAGTAATCTACGGCAAGTTCCTCGCCCCAACCTGTCGGGTCCTCCGACCACGCCGAGTCCTGCGGGCGCTGCCAGCAGAACATGAAGTTCAGCCACAGCAGCCAGGACACGACCGGCACGAGGAACGCGCACAGCGCCAAGAGTATCGACGCCGCGGCCCGGGCATCGCTCACCGCGCTACGGTACAGCGCCACGGCCACGCGGCGGCCGCCGTCGCAGACAAAGCTGAGTACGGCAGCGACGCGGAACGAGCGGACCACGTCCCAGAGATCGATCCACGGCGCGTCGATCGCCCACCGGACCGCAGCAACGATAGCAGGCGCCTTGTCGACTACGTAGAACACCGGCGAGACCACCAGCAGCCGCACGAGCACGGCCGTGTACCCGTAGATGAGTAGCCAGAGCCACCGCGTCAAGAAACAGTACACCAGCATCGTCCTCGACCACTCCCTCGGCGGCGGCCCCCGGGGCCCGGCCTCGCGGTCGACCGGCGGCCAGATGAGCACGCGCGCGCCGTTGACCCAGAGCCACTGCTCCTGCGGGTACTCGATGTGCGCCGGCGCGTGGGCGTGGCCGAGTTCGTTCAGGGGCCTTCTGACTACGTTCTGCACGGGTGGAGGCTGCGGTGCGGGTTGTGGCGGTGGCCACACTACGTGCTGCGGCACGGGCTGCGGCTGAGGCTGCGGTCGAGGTTCCGGCGCGGGCGGCTCTGGGAATTGCCGTCGTATCGGCGGTAGGCGCTCTATAGGCGCGTATCTGGGCTCGGGCACGCGTTGCGGCGGCGGCGGCGGCCATATTACGTGCTCGGGTACAGGTTGCGGCTGAGGTTCCGGCGCAGGTTCGGGTCGCCGCTGCGGTTCCCCTTGGTCCTCGACGTTGTCG